TGTTGTTGTCATCGTTGAAACAACAATGCCTGCCCCCGCCAAAGCACGGTAGTGTGTCTTGTTCTTTGTGCAGGTATCTTCCGTTGGGGATTTACCTAGTCATCTTCTAAGCGTCAGGAAGACGAATACAAAGACAGTACCCACACAGAACTACAAACGACACTCTTAAAACTGTTAGAGCACCTAGACGAAGTTTATTCTGATTATTATTAAGAAACAATCGAGAATTATGTTTCACTTACATTTTCAGTTTATCAAATAACAGACCTTTTGCATAAAACAGCCCGAGTAACAACACATAACCGGTAATACTCAGGCTACAATTAAAAACCTAAAATTATAATTTGCAGCGTATTTCTGGGATATGGTATTATAGCTACTGGGCCTCCCATGAAAAACATCGCAATACTAGCACTTTTTAACATGCGGCGCTCAATACGAATTAGAAACAACTCTTTTTATATTAAATTATAGGGTTCTGATAAGTAGATTGGAATAACCCCTAGATGTGTTAGATTTGGATGGCCGCATATAACCTTTCCAATTTACCTTTACTCATTGTTCTAATACCCTAATAATAATTAGATTTACGTGGGAAAGATACTGAAAAGTTGGTTTCGCGGAACTCATATTGGCATTCTGAATTAGACACGAGGCAAACCTAACCTAAACACCATAGAAAATCGTTGACATAATTTAGCTGTCGACACCAAGGTGACAAGCACACGATAGCCAGAAATAACCGTTAAACTCGCTCTGGGGTCGCTCCCGAATAACCTTGATTTTTGAAAACGTCAAGACTCACGGGGGTTTTATAAAATGTTAAGTCCGCGCTACGCGGTGTTCCGTTGCCAAGCACAAATTTCTAAAAATGGATCACAACACGTATTCAGCTATCGTCAACCTGTTACAAATAAAATATGCCAAATATGTTGTACTGCCACCGACAAACCTATCTACAAAGATTATCGAATGAGAGGGGTGGCTGACGTCTCCTTGTCCTTTTGTTCAACATTATAAAGAGGTAAACGCCGCAACATTAACTTTAGACGAATTGCTAGGGAGCTTCGTGATCGGCCTGAACAGTGACACATATCTGCTGACAAACGATGCCCAATACGGCACCCACGACACAATCAGCTTTTCAATAAAACATCTACAACGCAATCAATGGCGTGCTACCCGCCTGTGCGTTCGTTCTAGAATCGACTTCATAGTGGGTCTACCTCATACGAAGGTTGCAAGTTTTCAAGCGACTACGCCATTGAAACAAGTTGGCGTCGTCGATGTCATCGTCGACTAGAGTCGATGAGACTTCTGTCGTTAAACAAACGCTAAGCGATGAGTAGTGAACCGCACCAGAACGGCTGAAACGTGCTTGCGTAACATTTACTGCCCGTTGGACTGAGCTCACACGTCCATCATATCCTCCACGCTACTCGGCCGCCAAGAGTAGAACGTGTAATGGAAGGAAGCAATGGCAGATGACGGGGATAGAGGTGGTATAAAATCGTGGTTGACTTCCTGTCTGGATATCTGCCCGGTCGGTTGCCGGCGTCGCATCATATTACCCCCTCACGACAAACTGATTAAGACATGCGCTGCAGATATGGTGCTACAGTTGCAACGGCAAGCACAACATACTTTGCTTCTTGTTCATTAGGCTGAAATTATTCTTGTCTTTATAGTCCTACGATGCCCATTTCAGGTTCTAACATCGTTTCGGCTAGAACAGTTGGGTATGGAATGGGTATTTAATTTCGCTGATCAAAGGCTAAAAGTACAGTTACAATATATTGTTGTACCTCGTTGAGACGATCAAGTCAGATCCAGGAAACGGCAAGGAGTCCCAAGATCTGTCGACATGCGTGAGGCAACGGTTCTCGGCTAGGCGCCTTTGAGGCAAATGGGCTTCTGGTTGTTGTTTATAGGTCAGAGACGCGAAATCTACTGATACGAACGTATCACCTTGTCAATGGTGTAAGGGCTGCACCAGGAAGAGGCTAAATCTTCAGTCAGATCATTGGTGGTGCCAGCCGAAATGGTGTGAAGCTGTTAGACAGACACTACGTCTGGTGCGAATACAGCACACGTAGACCCGCTGTAAATATGAATTCGTGTTGTGGAATTAATGAGGCTAATGTGGGGCCTACTAAACGGTAGGACAGCATAAATGATACTTAAGTAACCGACAAGCAGTGTGAGAACGTATGCCGATATAAAGAAACTGGGAATATTTACAGAATGATCGTAAGTGACAAACGCGAAGGGGCAATCTGCAAAACATTTGATGGAACCTTTCAATCTGAATATTCGAAAACCGATTTTACGATGCTCTTAGTAGGTTTGATCGAGAATCGATCAGATATAAAGAAAAAACTGAATTTTACGGAACTATAGGGATCTGTCCGTGCAACATCATCAGGAGTAACTATTATATTGCGAAAAATGCATTAATAGATACCTTAAAATCAGTTGATACACAGAGCTTACGAGAACCATATGTTGCTTCAGCTGTCGCTTCGATGATTTGATATAACAATACATAGACGGTCATATTCTTGTTTTAGTCTTAGCCTGCGCACGTCAACAATCAATCCTAAGGAAAAAGTCTCCTTAAGCTAAATCTGAAATCGTGACGAAGGAGCCTTCTATTGTAAAGAGACTACTGATTAGTGCGTGGCACGCGCCAATAGCCACAAGTCACGCTTCTTTACTGCAAAGAAAGAAAACGAAACTTTGTAGGAATCGTTAACGACAATTCAGAAATGCCGTGGACTCGATGACAAGCACCATCTTGCACTACAACAGCTTAATACGACGTCGCTCGCCGGCGCGTTCTTCAGAGGGGCTATATAGTAAGTGAGATTCCGGGTTCTATCCGCGGCCTCAATTGCATTCGATCGATAGGAACTTGTATGAATAGATATGGTAACTATGGTCTTTCATATGAACTCAAGTGATACGCAGGTGGCAGCCTTTAATGGAAACGGGCTTAAAGGTGTGGTCAATTACAAGGAACATATGCGAATAGCAGGACGAAATAAAGGTGAGCATTTACAGAAAAGAAGAAAAGATCTGCGTCAATGCAGTAGCGATGACTGCTTGTAGACAGCTTCTTATCTGGGCTATGTTTACCACCAAGTAGTTATTCGGTTCATGGAAAAGCTGCTTGTACTGAATACTCGCAACATATATAGTTCGCGAAGGATTCACGGAGTCTGGGTCGAAAAGTACAGAAAAAGCCACGCAAACCACACTCAATGCAGTCACTTTCCACTAAATAGATAGACGAGTTATTGTAATGATTATTAGGAGAAGAAAGACGTCAGGCGATTGCCGCTGTCGTTGGCAGGACTTTTGTGCTAGCACGAGCTGCTGTTTCCATTATAAAAGCCTGGGCATCATAAAGGTCTTCGAACATTCTCGGGGGCATTCTCGGCCGAGTGCAATACTGACGAACTGGGTTTAGCTGTTGCGCAGCGACAAAAAAAAACTCACCGTTGTGTATCGATGCACAGAAAATGCTGTTGGCTCTTGTTGTCCGCTTCTTGTCTGGTGCTTCGGTCCTTCAAGTGTTTACATACTGTGGCCAGCCACATTCTAGTAATGTGAAATAAGTCCACAGTTGAACAAAGCTATGATTGAACTTCAATTGGTACAAAAGTATAAGTGAAGTTCCGATCATGGACTCTCAGCCTCGACACGCCCGCTCGGTGTTATTGGGATGGACTCAATCAGCTGTGAAGCTTCTCTGGAGGCGCACCTTTACAGAAGCGACTTGCCATCCGTCTTGCCACGGATACAAACGCACACACAGATGTACAGATGCACAAGCACGAATGCATCCGCAGTTGTTTGGTCCACTGTTGCCAGAACGTTAAACACAGCGGTTTCGTTCGTCTGATACACTGGTTGGTAACAAACGGTTTGGTGTACTCGAATAGGTGTAGATCTACCCGTAGCCAAGTATCGGCCGTACGGCTACAGACAGAGAATTACAAATATTACGGGACAACGTACAGAGGGCTGTTTCAAGAAAATCATGTTTATCGGGTCTATTCTTACCCATGATAATATACCTAGTAGTGGCCTTCCTGTTATCTCCGTCTTAAGAAGGCTTTAACGATGTCCCTGCGGTACAACGCATAACCTACTTTTCTTCGACCTGCCTAGGCTCTATCGTGCGGTACGAAGTTGAGTAGCTATTTTAGCATCAAGTTTAACAAGTGGTATAAATTAGAAAGACGAAATGCCACGTGTTATACGTATTGCCTCTTTCCGAGAAGACATTATTACTGTTACCAAACGAATTGAGACGGAACTTCTTTCAGCTATTGGAAGTTGTCGTGCCTTGTATTTGGTCACTCGACATATCAATCACAGCGATGAAAAAGCTCATTCACTGCTAATAACCTGAACAGTACCTGTGCCCGACGGTAGTCAGAAGACGCCTAACAGAAAAAGGGCTTTTCTTATCAATTTAAACAGTTGGTGATCAGTTAATGACATGATAGCGTGTTATATGAAGAGTTTCGTGTACGTTCGCCGCCACTGTGATTCATTAATATTACTAACGTCGCAGTCGCGCTACAGGTCCACCAACAATCGAGCCTTCCATGCGACAACCATTGTTATTAATTGCAAAAACACATGATCACAAACAGGCTGCTGCCGGTCTCTAGGTAAAGAACCAGCCAAATCAGGCGCAGTAGAACGAATCGGGCATACATTTGCGCATGGTAAAGTCGATGATAATAATGGTGACAAAGAAGGCGTTGCGTTAATTGCGTTATTAGGAAATTTTTCGAATCATAATTGATTACTATACAGGTGGATGGGGACTGTTAAACACCGTTATTATCTTTCACTACACAGCTGTAGCTTTTGAACGAACGCGGGCCATTGCAACAAACTTATGGCATAGGTAAAAATATAAGTGAGTTAACTTTTGACCTTTTAATCTTATTTCTGACCTTATTATTGCGTCACTATTGCAGGAGACATTCACCCTCGTCTTGGACATCCGGCATCGCGATACTAAAGTCCATTATACAGGTAAGTTTGTTGTTAGCGGTTCAGCGTCGGCTATTTCAATCAGTTGTAATTATTGAAGTCGTTTCTTTGACTCGTCTATGAACTACGATGACAAACGTACATGATCATATTGGTATCGAGATAACAAACACAAATGCGCCTACCTTCGATAGAAATCCTTTTGCGCCTTCAAGCTGGCCTTCGTGCAGCGAGAACGTAGATCGTATTCAGCTCACGCAGGCGTGCACTGCAACATACTGGCACGAAAACGATCCTTCTGCACCCATACTGCAATTTATCTTCTAAGAATAGCCTAGCGATCTACTTCGTGTGTACAATGGGAAAGAAATGAAATAATAATTGAGCATTTTTTAACCAAAAAATAGAGATACAAGTTCAATCGGATAAACACAAAATACAAATTATAGATAAAATATAAGAAATGTTATTTTTTCCGCCTATTGTTGCTCTGTTTGTGTGATATTGAGGTCGCCGTTACGGCCCATTGTTAACTTACTTAGTTAATCACTCTGAGAGAGAGCGAGCTTGTTATTTATCAATCATTTAGCATTGATTTATGCAGCATATGTGAAACGACCACTACACAGCTTCCGATGATCATCGCTTGACTATGCCGCTAAAGTGTGTTTTCCCCGCTGTGCAAGTGTGTGCGCAGACTCGTGCCGAAGAGGCTCGAAATTAGGCAGCAGCGTTCTGGACGAGAAATAGAGATACAAATGCAGATAGACAGATGGATGGATAAAAATATAAATGATAGATATATAGATGTTTAGATGGATGGACAGAGAACCAATAACATTGTTGCGATCGGCCGACGCAGCCACGAATGTTTCGAGAAACGTCCGAGCTAGGCGGGCGGAACCTCATTTTCATATTTTGCAGCGCCGCAACAGCGGCGGCGGCGGCGGCTGCTGCTGCGGTACCAGCGACGACAAAAACCGAAATTAACTGGCCCCTTCGTTTTCGACCTCCGGTCGTTCCTGTTCCTATTTTCATGCCGAAAGTAAACGAAGATTTATGAAGACTGAGTGGCGCTACTGACCGCGACAACAGCGACAATGGCCCCCTCGTCGCTGCCGCTGCTATTGATAATGTTTTGGTTGTTGTTTTGACTAAGTATAAGGCTAAGTGTCATTTTAAGATGGAAAAGATTAAATGGAAATCGTTGTTCTGATCGGCAAAACGATGACAAACAACTTGCGGTCATATCTGTCGTTGATCTGTTAGCGGCGATTACCTACACATGTAATGTATTAACGCTTTTAAGAAGGCAACGATGTTACGATCCTTTACTGTGTTTGTCAACGCACTGTCCCTGCACGTTTACCTTCCGGCCAAGGCTGGTAGGTACCGATAGTAAAAATGTGACAAAGACAGGGAACTCTGCTGCCAGTGCGGTATAGCTGGCCGCTAGCGTTGCCAACGACGAACAGCCTACGGAACGTATCAACTAGAACTAGTGTGATTGTGCACTACTTATAGCGTACCGTGTTCTCCGTTTTATTCGTGGTCGGGTTACCCGCTTTCAAGTCTAGCAACTGCCTGATCAAGCGTCGGCATTACCTTTTTAATGATCTATCTTGCTGCGTCTATTTCGGTCGTCCACGATCCGTCTGCTACTGTTTCGAACCAATTTTTATGGTGCAGGCATAATGAAACGGCGATAATATGATTGAGTCAGATAACAGACAACGGTATGAGATGACCTCTTCACTTATTTTTCGTTAGCTTGGCTTTTTCGCCACGTCTTCTCTCTCTGTCTATCGCCTGTTTCTTCTTGGATTAGTCTGGTCAGTTTCTATTAGCTTTTCTTTTTTTTTTTTTTTTTCTTTTTCTTAAACAAAATAAGCATTGGTATATTCATCCCATAAGTGACTTCGCGTTCGCTGGCGGCACTTTTTTCTGGATCGATAGCGTCAACGACTGCTGCTGTCTGCGAACAGCATTTATCCAATGAACTTCAACGACTAATCGCAATTACGTCGGTGATGATGATAGTAATAACAGTCACATATCTTTTCGAAACGGTATGTTAGTTTACGTGTCTTGTATGTCATATCTAAGTTCAGGCTACGGCTATTTTGGGACACTTGGTTTAGTTCTAGCGACAGATAATGCAGAAAAATTTATGTAGAATTTCCCTAATTTTGTAGCTTTTCCGTGATGATATTTTTATGACTGCCGCATCACGGTTATTATCGTTCGTGATTTTCCTTACGATTTTGTTATATTAGCGCGTGCATGGTGTCCCCGATACCACCACGTTCAACAGTAATGATTTCATTTTTCGACTATGTGTCAGCGCAGCGAGTAACAATATGTTGTATCAAACAAGTTTCACGTTGCCCTAGTCATCTACGTCTAAGTTGGCAATACCCTGAATCTTTGACGTGATACCTATCGTCCTAAGTGCGATTTTGAAGTGGCGAGGCGCTTTTAGCCCTTTTTTTGGCCTACTCGGAACGTATTTTCCGAGCTTGTTTATCTATTTGTTCGTCCGTCCGGCCCTTCCTCGCTTGTTTTTGGACAGCGTCTTTACCTCTCTAATTTTCATGACTGCTGCTGCTGCTATCGCTTAACTAACTGACGCGCTGGATGACCGGCTTCCTTGTGTTTTGTATGAATATAGTATACTCATATATACATCTGTTTTTCGTGAACCTATCGATTTTTAACAATTATCCTGTTCTCCCGTAGAATCAGGACCCGTTGCTTTGTTTTATCGTGCGAGAACTTCCGGCCGGAATAATAGGTTACGTCCAATTCGACTGCTTACAGACGACGCTTTTTTCACCTTTACCACTGCAGCGTCACCTGTTTTTTTCTGCTACATTTCTGCGACTCGTTCTACGTTTGTCCGTTCTCAGTGTGGTTTTTTCTTCAATCTTCGCTTGGTCCCGTCTTCCTTCTTTACTGACGCTGCACTTCGTTGCGCTTTTATCTTGGCGCTTACGCTGCTTTAGTACCTACACACAGACATACAAACGTTCATCTGTGCGTATGTATGGATCTTGTGTTCTTCTTTGTCCTCCTCGTTCTTTCTGCCCCGTGCCGCCCCTCTTGCCGCCTTTTCTTAACGCGTATCCTGCACATCGTCTCTATATCACGATATCACAGCTATCCCTTTATCACTCCGCCCGTCCGTGTTATGTTATCATTTTTATTTTCATTCCCCATTTAAGTTGTGTTTTATCAATGCCTTTCAAACAATTGATCTGTTAGCTGCGGCTGCGGACCGTTTAGATCCGTCCGGTGGCTCTTACTAATGATTACATAACAATAATAATAAAACCATTTTGACTTTAAAATAAAAACCTGTATGTATATAGATATGGGTTGCATTTTTCTAGGCAGTTCAACAGATGATTCTGAAATGCCGTGCTCAGCGAATTGCGGGATCTATCGCTTGTACCGTACCAATCAATTAATTGTTTGCCCTAAACGTGTGTATGCCTTAGATTCGTATACCTAACTTCTTTTGATACATCGCGTATCGGGTATATACACAGTTGATGCTACTCCTATCCGCGAGTAGATGCTGTGCATAGCTGACAGTAAGCTTGACAATCTGTACCAGCCTTCCTTTCGAGTGCACACAGAAATAGTCGTTGATGTCCTTTCTATGACATCGTAACCAAAACAGGCCTCTAAGAGTAGCTCAGCGATGTTAGGTGGTGCGTTAAACGATGAATTATCAAAATAGCTTTTTGAAAGTTTGGTCACTAACAAGAAGAATCGGTAGTATTAGGGTCTACCGACCGAGATGTCGAGGCTGCCATGTAAATGTCTTCACGTGTGTCTTATATGTAACATCTGACTAGCAGATAAAAACAAAAACGTTAAAAAAAATTTGTGGCACCAAAACACGCGATCACACTGGACTATCCACCGTATTCAAGGACCCTGTAGCGACTTCACGCCGCTCTGTTTCTAGCGAGCAACTCCAGCTGCAGTACGGTAGCAGGTCCCTATTTTTCTTAACGTTGTTAGGCCTTGGAGCTACCACCAATTGATATCCTACTATTCGTTTCTCTTGATTTTTTCTATGTTTGTTATTAAAAAATCGTTGGCTATGCAGTCGCTGCTGATGATATATTGGCGAAACGGATTTAGAAGAAGAACTAGTGAGAAAACGGAATGGGGAACAAAGCTAGTTCGATTCGCTTCACAAAAAACAGGGCACGCATCGACTGGGGGCTACGAACGACGACCAGCGTTGTAGCGACAGGAGTAGCAGACAGACCGATACGGCGATGCAAAACGAGGGGCAAAACGGATAGCTTTCTTTCCTTTAAATTGCCCTGGCTTCCGATACGACTTTGACTGCGTCTCAATTTTTTTCTGATGTGTTTCTGCTCTAAGTGTTTGTATAGTTGTCGCAGCGCAAACAGAAACTGATCCCAATAATAACAGTGATTCACACTTATTTCAAAAAAATCATCTGTTTACCAATATATGTCAGCATTTTTCGCTTCAGCTTCTCACTGTATCTTTATACCGTCTCTGTTACTGCTGCCGCTGCTTCGCTTTACCTAAGCAGTCTTTACCCGCCTGTCCTCCCTCGTCTCCATTACCTCATGACAATATTCTTCGTCCTTCCGTTCCCTTAATTAGCATCAGAAGTCGCTCGTTCGCTGCCATACAGTAGCATCGTCGTAAAGTTGTTTATAACGACACTGTGCGAGACGGCTACGCTTGGTGACCTGCTGTTTCTTTGTAGTTGTAACGGCCAGATGACGCCGCGGTTGTCGTCATGGGCTGTGTTGATGCATCACGTGGACGCCCCGTTGCACACTTGGATATTTATATTAAATATTAATATATTTAATATTATTAACAATACTAAATAAACACACATTTCATTGCATCTGTCAGATGCTGACGCTAGTAAAAAGTTGTTGTGACAAAGCGGACCGCGCCGTCAAACTCGTATGATCCTAGCGGGGAATCTCATAAGTTTTAATAGGACAATAGATTTTCAGGATGTTCTTGGTGGTTGG